TCCAAGATCCAGGGGTCACCAGGGCCAGGCATTGCCTGAGGTGCCACCCGCTCCCAGCTCCAACTGGGGGGACTGGTGTGATGGGGGGGGGGGGACAAAACGTGTTAATGGGGCTCTGCCTGCCCCCCAGTGCTGCCCCAGTACCCAACTGGGATGGGCATGGGGAACTCCAAGATCCAGGGGGCACCAGGGCCAGGCAGTGCCTGGGGTGCCACCCGCTCCCAGCTCCAACTGGGAGGGACTGGTGTGATGGGGGGGGATAAACCAAGGGTTAATGGGGCTCTGCCTGCCCCCCAGTGCTGCCCCAGTACCCAACTGGGATGGGCACGGGGGAGCTCTTGAGTGCCAGGATGGACCAGGGCCAGGCAGTGCTTGGGGTGCCACCTGCTCCCAGCTCCAACTGGGAGGGACTGGTGTGATGGGGGGGAATAAAACATGGGTTAATGGGGCTCTGCCTGCCCCCAGTGCTGCCCCAGTACCCAACTGGGATGGGTAGATCCAGAGGGGACCAGGGCCAGGCAGTGCCTGGGGTGCCACCCGCTCCCAGCTCCAACTGGGAGGGACTGGTGTGATGGGGGGGATAAAATACACGTTAATGGGGCTCTGTCTGCCCCCCAGTGCTGTCCCAGTACCCAACTGGGATGGGCACTGGAGAGCTCCGGGTGCCAGGATGGACCAGGGCCAGGCAGTGCCTGGGGTGCCACCCGCTCCCAGCTCCAACTGGGAGGGACTGGTGTGATGGGGGGGGATAAAACACGCGTTAATGGGATATTCTGTGCCCTTCCCCGAGCCACAGATCCCCGTTTTCTCGGGCTGCCGGAGCTCAGCCCCAGCTCTGGGGGGCTCGGGGGGCTCTGAGGGGGTCTCGGGGTCCCCCCGGGACCGGCGTTTTAAGAGGGGCAGGTGCGGAGCGGGGCCGGTTTTTGCCGTCCCGTAAAACCCCGGCAACAAAAAAAAAACCGCTTCAAAGGGCCCTTAATGACCCCAAAATGAAACGTTTGCCACGGCCCCCCCCCCTCCCCTCGTAAAATCCCGGCCGGCCCTTTAATTGCCTCGTAAAACGGCTCAGGAAAAAAAAAAAAAAGGTATTAAAGGGGGTTTTTTTTGTTTTGTTGCCGCTCTGAGATCGCGGAGCCCTCGGGGGGCCCCCCCCGTGTCCAGCTGTTTCCCTCCCCGCCGCCTTAATGAGCCGGCTCCTTAATTATTCCCGGCTCCTTTTTCTTCTCCGGCTGGCCTGGAGCCACCACCCCGGCTCAGGTGTGGCCCGGGGACACCCCCAGCCCTTCCCCCGGACCCCCGGCCTTTGGGGAGGGGGGTTCGGGCTGTCACGACCCCTCTCGGGGGGTTTTCCCGATGGTTCCCTCGCCTCCCTGTCCCGGGGCGACCCCGGCAGCGAGTTCAGCTGGGCCGAGCCCGGAGAGGAGGCAGAGCGAGGACAGCTCGGCTAATTTACACCTCCCCGGAGCCCCCCGGGCGCAGCCGCCCTTCCAGGGGCCGGGAATTGGCTGGAATTGGCTGGAATTGGCAGCTGGGGCTCGGGGAGGCGCAGCTGGAGAGCTGCAGCTGCTGCCCTTGGAATGAGCCGAGCTCCGGCTCCCGCCCCACAACCACCGGGGCAGGGCTGGGGGGGCTCGGGTTTGGGGGTGTCCAGGTTTGAGGGGTCCTTGGTACAGGATATCCTGCTTTGGGGTGTCCAGGTTTGGGGATGTCCAGGTTTGAGGGGTCCTGGGTACAGGATATCCTGCTTTGGGGTGTCCAGGTTTGGGGATGTCCAGGTGTGGGGGTGTCCAGGTTTGAGAGATCCTGATTTTGGATGTCCTAGGTTTGGGGTGTCCAGGTTTGAGAGATCCTGATTTTGGATGTCCTAGGTTTGGGGTGTCTTGTTTTGGGGTGTCCAGGTTTGAGGGGTCCTGGGTCGGGAATATCCTGGTTTGTGGTGTCTTGTTTGGAGGATTTCCTGGCTTTTGGGGTGTTCTGGTCTGTGGTGTCCTGGGTTTGGGGGTATCCAGGTTTGAGGGCTCCTGGGTCAGGGATATCCTGGATTTGGGAATGTCCTGGTTTGAAGGGTCCTGATTGGCAGGGCCCAGGTTTGGGGATGTCCAGGTTTGAGGGGTCCTGGTTTGGGAATATCCCAGATTTGGGGATGTTCTGGTTTGAAGGGTCCTGGTTGGAGGATTTCCTGGCTTTTGGGGTGTTCTGGTCTGTGGTGTCCTGGGTTTTGGGGTATCCAGGTTTGAGGGGTCCTGGTTTGAGAGATCCTGATTTTGGGTGTCCTTGGTTTGGGGTGTCCAGGTTTGAGGGGTCCTGGGTTGGGGATATCCCAGATTTGGGGATGTCCTGGTTTGAAGGGTCCTGATTGGCAGGGCCCAGGTTTGGGGTGTCCTGATTGGAGGATTTCCTGGCTTTTGGGGTGTCCTAGGTTTGGGGGTATCCAGGTTTGAGGGCTCCTGGGTCAGGGATATCCTGCTTTGGGGTGTCCAGGTTTGGGGATGTCCAGGTTTGAGGGGTCCTGGTTTGAGAGATCCTGATTTTGGATGTCCTCGGTTTGGGGTGTCCAGGTTTGAGGGGTCCTGGGTTGGGGATATCCCAGATTTGGGGATATCCCAGATTTGGGGATGTCCTGATTGGCAGGGCCCAGGTTTGGGGTGTCCTGATTGGAGGATTTCCTGGCTTTTTGGGGTGTTCTGGTCTGTGGTGTCCTGGGTTTTGGGGTGTCCAGGTTTGAGGGGTCCTGCGTCAGGAGTATCCCGGATTTGGGGATGTTCTGGTTTGAAGGGTCCTGATTGGAGGATTTCCTGGCTTTTTGGGGTGTTCTGGTCTGTGGTGTCCTGGGTTTGGGGGTGTCCAGGTTTGAGGGGTCCCGGGTTGAGAGATCCTGATTTTGGATATCCCAGATTTGGGGATGTCCAGGTTTGAGGGGTCCTGACTGGCAGTGCCCAGGTTTGGGAGTGTTTCTGGGTTTGGGATATCCTGGTTCAGGGATGTCCAGGTTGGGGGATTTCCTGGGTTTTGGGGTGCTCTGGATTTAGAGGTGTCCAGGTCTGGGAGTTTCCTGGGTTTAGGGGTTTCCTGGATTTAGGTTTCCTGGATTTAGAGTGTCCAGGTCTGGGAGTTTCCTGGGTTTGAGGGTTTCCTGGATTTAGGGTGTCCAGGTCTGGGAGTTTTCTGGGTTTAGGGGTTTCCTGGATTTAGGGTGTCCAGGTCTGGGAGTTTTCTGTGTTTGGGGGTTTCCTGGATTTAGGGTGTCCAGGTTTGGGAGTTTCCTGTGTTTGGGGGTTTCCTGGATTTAGGGTGTCCAGGTTCTGAGGATTGAGTTTCCTGGGTTTGGGGGTTTCCTGGATTTAGGGTGTCCAGGTCTGGGAGTTTCCTGGGTTTGGGAGTTTCCTGGATTTAGAGGGCCCAGGTTTGGGGTGTCTGAGTTTGGCCCTGGTTTGGGGATTTCCTGGATTTCCTGGGTTCTGAGTTTGGGGTGTCCTGGCTTTGGGAGTGCCCAGGTTTGGGGTCTTTTACGTCCCCAGAACACCCAAACCCTTCGCTGCTGCTTTTGTTTATCAGCATTAAAAAAAACCAAAAAAAAAAACCCCAAAAACCCAAATGTGGAGTTCCCAAAGCGCGTGGAAAGCTCGGGAATCGCCGGAGCAGGAGGGGTGGGAGCTGTGCAGCCCCCACTCCATCCCTGTCCCTCCCCCTCCTCGTTTTCCCTCTCCAGAGGCCCCCAATTTATCAGCAGCCCCACCTGGGCCGGATCCAGGTGACTGAGCCGGGTCAGCCGGGCCGTTCCCGCCGGGAGATGGGAATGGCTGGGAGCAGCTGCTCCCTGGGATGGCTCCTGAGTTAATGACCCCTTCCCACCCCACCCGGGGGCTGCCAGGGAGCCACAGCCCGGGATTCCCTGTCCAGAGCCTTTTCCCAGCCTCGGTATTCCCTGTCCAGCCTGGTATTCCCTGCTCCTCAGCCTTTTCCTACCCTGGTATTCCCTGTCCAACCTGGTATTCCCTGCTCCTGAGCCTTTTCCCAGCCTGATATTCCATGTCCAGCCTGGTATTCCATGTCCAACCTGGTATTCCCTGCTCCTGAGCCCTTCCCAGCCTGGTATTCCCTTCTCCTGAGCCTTCCCAGCCTGGTATTCCATGTCCAACCTGGTATTCCCTGCTCCTGAGCTTTTTCCTACCCTGGTATTCCCTGCTCCTGAGCCCTTCCCAGCCTGGTATTCCCTTCTCCTGAGCCCTTCCCAGCCTGGTATTCCCTGCTCCTGAGCCTTTTCCCAGCCTGGTATTCCATGTCCAGCCTGGTATTCCCTGCTCCTGAGCCTTTTCCCAGCCTGATATTCCCTGTCTCCTGAGCCCTTCCCAGCCTGGTATTCCCTGCTCCTGAGCCCTTCCCAGCCCGGGATTCCCTGTCCAGCCTGGTATTCCCTGCTCCTGAGCCTCTTCCCAGCCTGGGATTCCCTGTCCAGCCTGGTATTCCCTGATCCTGAGCCCTTCCCAGCCCGGGATTCCCTGTTCAGAGTGCTTTCCAGCCTGGCATTCCCTGCTCCTGAGCCTTCCCAGCCTGGTATTCTGTGTTCCTGAGCCTTCCCAGCCCGGTATTCCCTGTCCAGAGCCTTTTCCTGGCCCGATATTCCCTTCTTCTGAGCCTTCCCAGCCTGGTATTCCCTACTCCTGAGCCCTTCCCAGCCTGGTATTCCCTGTCCAGAGCCTTTTCCCAGCCTGGTATTCCCTGTCCAGAACCTTTTCCCAGCCTGATATTCCCTGTCTGCTTTTCCCTGCTCCAGAGCCCTTTCCCTGCCTGCTTTTTCTGTGTTCCCAAGCCCTTTCCCAGCTCTGGTTTTCCCTTTCCCGGAGCCCTTTCCCATCCTGGTTTTCCCATCCTGGTTTTCCCATCCTGGTTTTCCCATCCCGGTTTTCCCATCCTGGTTTTTCCATCCCGGTTTTCCCGGTCATTCCCAGTTTCCCTGGCCTTTCCCGGTGTTCCTGAGGGGTTTTCCCTTTGCCTTGCAGCGAGAACGAGGCTCTGTGGAGGGAGGTGGCCAGCCTGAGGCAGAAACACGCCCAGCAGCAGAAGGTGGTCAACAAGGTAAAGAAATCCCGCTTTTCCGCAGGGATTGGGATGATTGGGATGCTGCTCCCTGCCTGTGCCAGGGCCCTCCATCCCCCTTGGGAAGTACATTTTCCATGGATTCCTCCTCCCAGAGCTCCTTCTCTCCAGGTTCTGTGCCCACCCAAACCGATTTTCCTTGGTTTTTCTCCTCCCAGAGCTCTTTCTCTCCAGGTTTCCCCTTTATTTCTCCTCCCAGAGTTCTTCCTCTCTGGTTTTTTCCTGGTTTTGTCCTCCCAGACTCTTTCTCTCCAATTTTCCCTGTGTTTCTCCTCCCAGAGTTCTTCCTCTCCCGTTTTTTTCCTGGTTTCCTCCTCCCAGAGCTTTTTCTCTCCAGTTTTTCCCTGTTTCCCTCTTCCCAGAGCTCTTCCTCTCCAGTTTTCCCCTTTATTTTTCCTCCCAGAGCTCTTCCTCTCCAATTTTCCCTGTTTCCCTCTTCCCAGAGCTCTTTCTCTCCAGGTTTCCCCTTTATTTCTCCTCCCAGACTCCTTCTCTCCAATTTTTCCCTATTTTTCTTCTCTCAGAACTATTTATCTCCAGGTTCTCCCTGTTTTTTCTCCCCGAGAGCTCCTTCTCTCCAGTTTTCCCTGTTTTCCTCCTCCCAGAGCTCTTCCTCTCCAGGTTTCCCCTTTGTTTCTCCTCCCAGACTCTTTCTCTCCAGTTTTCCCCTTTATTTCTCCTCCCAGACTCTTTTCTCTCCCAATTTTCCCTGTGTTTCTCCTCCCAGAGCTCTTCCTCTCTGGTTTTTCCCTGTTTTCCTCCTCCCAGAGCTCTTCCTCTCCAGTTTTCCTTTATTTCTCCTCCCAGAGCTCTTTCTCTCCAGTTTTCCTTGGCTTTCTTCTCCCAGAGCTCTTCCTCTCCAGTTTTCCTTATTTTCTCCTCCCAGAGCTCTTCCCTCCATTTTTCCCTGTTTTCCTCCTCCCAGAGCTCTTCCCCTCCATTTTTCCCTGTTTTCCTCCCTGCCCAGCTCTTTCTCCCCCTTTTCCCAGCCCCCCCTAACAGCTTTTCCCTCTTTTCCCCCCTCAGCTCATCCAGTTCCTGATTTCCCTGGTGCAATCCAACCGAATTCTGGGGGTCAAGAGGAAGATGTGAGTCTGCATTCCTGCACCCACTGATGAATTCCAGGGGGGCCAGGGAGCTGGGAATCCCGGGATTCCCCGGGAGCCTGGCAGGAGCAGGACCGGGAATCTGGGAATGCCGGGAGCTGCTTTTCCGTGCCGGATCCTGCTGGCTCTTCCCGGGGTTCCTGCGGGATGGGATGGGATGGGATGGGATACAGGGATGGGATGGGATGGGATGGGATGGGATGGGATGCAGGGATGGGATGGGATGGGATGGGATGGGATGGGATACAGGGATGGGATACAGGGATACAGGGATGGGATGGGATGGGATGGGATGGGATACAGGGATGGGATACAGGGATGGGATGGGATGGCAGGGCCGCCTTTGGGCACCATCTGGCAGCAGCTTAATTAGCGTTAATGAGCAGGGGGGAAATGATGGATCTGGGGAGGGCAGACAGCTCCTCCGGAGCCTCGGGAATGATGGATGGGCCTGTGTCCGGAGCAGTGGGAATTTGGGAGGGAATTTGGGAGGGATCCAGGCAGGGCTCGGGCACGACGCGAGGGGGAGAGCAGGGGCTGCAGAAACCCCTCCAGGGCCCCGGCATTCCCATTCCCATTCCCATTCCCATTCCCATTCCTGCCCAGCAAAGAGCAGAGCGCAGCCCCCGGTGCTCCCTGTGTCCCTGAACGCCAGGGAATCCGGGAATCAGGGAATCACAGAGCGGTTTGGCTGGGAAGGGACCTCAATTCCCACCCAGCACCACCCCTCCCACCATCCCAGGGGGATCCAGCCTGGCCTGGGACACTCCCAGGGATCCAGGGGCAGCCACAGCTTCCCTGGGAATTCCAGCCCAGCCCCTCCCCACCCTCCCAGCCAGGAATCCCTTCCCAATCTCCCCCCTAACCCTGGGCAGCCATTCCCTGTGTGCTGTCCCTCCAGCCCTCATCCCAAATCCCTCTCCAGCTCTCCTGGAGCCCCTTCAGGCCCTGCCAGGGGCTCCGAGGTCTCTCCCTGGATTTCCCCTTCTCCAGGATCCCTGTCCTGGCTCCCTGTGGCCCATCCCGGGGTCCTCCCGCCCCTCTGGATTCTCCCACACCTGAAACCGCTGTCCCTTGTCCGGGGGCTGGGTTTGGGATGGGATGGGATGGGATGGGATGGGATGGGATGGGATGGGATGGGATGGGATGGGATGGGATACAGGGATGGGATGGGATGGGATGGGATGGGATGGGATGGGATGGGATGGGATGGGACGGGATGTTCCCATGTGTAATTCCCGGTGTTTCCCGGGAATTCCCGCAGCCCCCTGATGCTGAACGACAGCGGTTCAGCACATTCCATGCCCAAGTACAGCCGCCAGTATTCCCTGGAGCACGTCCATGGATCATCCCCCTACGCAGTGAGTGCTCCTGCAGCATTTGTGGGGTGGGAACAGGGCCCTGGATTTGTGGGGAGGGAAAAAGGACCTGGATTTGTGGGGAGGGAAAAAGGACCTGGATTTGTGGGGAAGGAAGAGAAAATGACCTGGATTTGTGGGGAGGGAAAAAGGACCTGGATTTGTGGGACAAGGACCTGGATTTGTGGGGAGGGAAAAAGGCCTTGGATTTGTGGGAATGGAACAAGGCCCTGGATTTGTGGGACAAGGATCTGGATTTGTGGGGAGGGAAAAAGGACCTGGATTTGTGGGGAGGGAAAAGGACCTGGATTTTGGAAAGGGAACAAGACCCTGGACTTGTGGGAAGGGGAACAAGGACCTGGATTTGTGGGGAGGGACAAGGACCTGGATTTGTGGGGTAGGAACAAGGCCCTGGATTTGTGGGGAGGGAAAAAGACCCTGGATTTGTGGGGAGGGACAAGGACCTGGATTTGTGGGGTGGGAACAAGGACCTGGATTTATGGGAAGGGAACAAGGACCTGGATTTGTGGGAAGGGAACAAGGACCTGGATTTGTGGGAAGAGGAACAAGGCCCTGGATTTGTGGGGTAGGAACAAGGACCTGGATTTGTGGGGAAGGAACAAGGCCCTGGATTTATGTGAAGGGAACAAGGACCTGGATTTGTGGGGAGGGACAAGGACCTGGATTTGTGGAGAGGGAAAAAGGCCCTGGATTTATGTGAAGGGAACAAGGCCCTGGATTTGTGGGGAGGGAAAAAGGCCCTGGATTTGTGGGGAGGGAAAAAGGACCTGGATTTGTGGAGAGGGAACAAGGCCCTGGATTTGTAGGGAGGGAACAAGGACCTGGATTTTGGAAAGGGAAAAAGGCCCTGGATTTGTGGGAATGGAACAAGGCCCTGGATTTATGGGAATGGAACAAGGCCCTGGATTTATGTGAAGGGAACAAGGCCCTGGATTTGTGGGAAGGGGAAAAAGGACCTGGATTTGTGGAGAGGGAAAAAGGACCTGGATTTGTGGGGAGGGAAAAAGGACCTGGATTTGTGGGAAGAGGGAAAAAGGACCTGGATTTGTGGGGTGGGAACAAGGCCCTGGATTTGTGGAGAGGGACAAGGACCTGGATTTGTGGGGAAGGAAAAAGGACCTGGATTTATGGGAAGGGGAACAAGGCCCTGGATTTGTGGGGAGGGACAAGGACCTGGATTTTGGAAATGGAAAAAGGATCTGGATTTGTGGGAAGGGGAACAAGGTCCTGGATTTATGGGAAGAGACAATGACCTAGATTTGTGGGAAGGGGAACAAGGACCTGGATTTGTGGGAAGGGGAACAAGGACCTGGATTTTTGGAGAGGGACAGGGCCCTGGATTTATGTGAAGGGAACAAGGCCCTGGATTTTTGGGGAGGGAACAAGGACCTGGATTTGTAGGGAGGGGAAAAGCACCTGGATTTGTGGGGAGGGAGAAAGGACCTGGATTTGTGGGGGGGGGAACAAGGCCCTGGATTTGTGGGGTAGGAACAAGGATCTGGATTTGTGGGGAGGGAAAAAGGACCTGGATTTGTGGGGAAGGAAAAAGGACCTGGATTTATGGGAAGGGGAAAAAGGACCTGGATTTGTAGGGAGGGGAACAAGGCCCTGGATTTGTGGGAATAAATGAAGTGGTGCTGGGCTCATCCCTGCTCCCGGGATCCAGGGCTTGGATCCAGGATTTGCTTTGGCACCAAAAGCCACCAGAACCCCCTCCCGCTGCCTAATTAGGGGGTAATTAACGCCATTCCTGCCAAAGGGGGCTGGGATTGGACAGGGAAGGGTGTTTGGAGCCAGGTGGGAATTGTGGAGCAGAGCCCAGCGGTGCCTGGGCACGGGATAATCATCCAGTTCCAACCTCCCACCATCCCAGGGGGATCCAGCCTGGCCTGGGACACTCCCAGGGATCCAGGGGCAGCCACAGCTTCCCTGGGAATTCCAGCCCAGCCAGGAATCCCTTCCCAATCTCCCCCCTAACCCTGGGCAGCCATTCCCTGTGTGCTGTCCCTCCAGCCCTCATCCCAAATCCCTCTCCAGCTCTCCTGGAGCGGCCCTGGAAGGTTCTCCAAGGTCTCCCTGGATCCTTCCCTTCTCCAGGGGAACATTCCCAGCTCTCCCAGCCTGGCTCCAGAGGGGCTCCAGCCCTGGGATCATCCCCATGTCCCCTCTGGATTCCCTCCAGCAGCTCCAGGTCCCTCAGGAATGTTGGGAATCCCCAGAGCTGCAGGGGGGTCTCCCCTGAGGGTGCAGAGGGACAGAATTCCCGCTTTTCCCGCTTCCCACGCCGTGGGATCAGCCCTGGACACGGGGAGGGTTCTGGATCCTGGCTCCACATCCCGGTGTCCCCTCATTCCCGAGGGATTTCCCTGCTGGGGGAGCCTGGGGGTGTCCCTGGGGGGTGGGAAAGGTGGGAAGGGATGAGCCGATCCCGAGGTTTGGAGCACAGGGAATGTCGGGATTGGGAAGGGTTGGGGTGTTCCCACATTCCCGTTGGAATTCCAGCACCCCTGGAATTTCCTGGGCTCACCCAGGGGGGGTTCAGGGCCTTGAATCCCAATTCATTTGTTCCGGGGTTGGTATCCAAAGGCAGCAGTTCCTGGAATTCTCTGTATTCCTGGAATTCTCTGTATTCCTGGAATTCTCTGTATTCCTGGAATTCCCTGTATTCCTGGAATTCTCTGTATTCCTGGAATTCTCTGTATTCCTGGAATTCCCTGGCCCTCGGGTTCCATCTCTTAATGTGGGAATTCCTGGTTTGGATTCTGAGCAAAGGAGGGGTTTAGTGGGAAATAAATAACTGAATAAAAATAATATTTTATTTTTAAATATGTTTTTATATAATATAAATATAATTTAAATATGTTTTATATAATTTTATATAAATTATATATTTTATATATTTATTTATATATTATTATATATAAATTTTTATATAATATTATGTATTATTTATGTGTTTTAAAATAATAAATAATAATTAAATAAAATGAATAAAGTATTAAAATACTAAATAAAAATTATTAAAAATAAAATAAAAATAAGTAAATTAAAATAAAATAAAACTAATTAAAAAATAGTCAAAATAATAACATGCTGCATGGATAAAAATGTATCTATTATAAAACAATAAAAATCAAAATAAAATTATTAAAGTTAATCAATTAGTGAATTAAAAATCGTCCATGTTGGAATAATAGAAATAAATGAAATAAAAGTAAATGAATAATAGAAATAAATGAAATAGAAGTAAATGAAAGAAATAACAATTGAATATCATAAAAGTAAAACAATGAAAAATTAAAATACTGTATTATAGAAATAGCAATGAAATGAAAATGAATTAATAATAAAACAATAAGTAAAAATCACTTCATTGTACAAATAATGGACAGCAAAATAAGAAATCAATAAATTAAGAAATGAATAATTAAAAGGGGAAGGGGAAGCTGAAAATCTGGGCTTCCAAAAGCCCGGGAGGGAACAATCCCAAAAAAGAATCCAGCCCTTTGCTCTTCCAATTCCGTGATTTCCATGGGAATGGATTTGATGGTCAGAGATGGGGGGGGTTGTCTGGGTTTATTTCTGGGTTTAAATTCTCCCTCCTTGGGATTTTGGGGTCCCATCCCTTCCTTCCTCATTGGGATTTGGGGATTCCAACCCCCTTCCTTCCTTGGGATTTTGGGGTCCCATCCCTTCCTTCCTCCCTGGGATTTTGGGATTCCAGCCCCTCTCCCTCCCTGGGATTTGGGGATTCCAACCCCCTCCCTCCCTGGGATTTGGGGTTCCATCCCTTCCTTCCTCCCTGGGATTTGGGGATTCCAACCCCCCACCTTCCTTGGGATTTGAGGATTCCAAACCCCCTCCCTCCTTGGGATTTGGGGATTCCAACCCCTCTCCCTCCTTGGGATTTGGGGATTCCAACCCCCTTCCTTCCTCCCTGGGATTTTGGGATTCCAACCCCCCTCCCTCCTTGGGATTTGGGGACTCCAACCCCCACCTTCCTTGGGATTTTGGGGTCCCATCCCTTTCTTCCTCTCTGGGATTTTGGGCTCTCACCCTTCCTCCCTCATTGGGATTTTGGGATGTCCGTGCCTCCTTCCCTGGGATTTTGGGATCCCACCCCCTTGGAATGTTGGGATCCCACCCCTCCCTCCTCCCTGGAATCCTGGGATGCCTGTTCCTCCCTCCTCGGGATTTTGAGATCCCACCCCCACCTTCTTCCCTGGGATTTTGGGATCCCACCCCAGCTTCCCTCTGGGATTTTGGGATTCCAACCCCCCTCCTTTGCTGGAATTTGGGCTCCCACCCTTCATTCCTCATTGGGATTTTGGGATGTCTGTGCCTCCTTCCCTGGGATTTTGGGATCCCACCCCACCTTCTTGGGATTTTGGGATCCCACTATGGGATTTTGGCCTCCCACCCCAATTCCCTCCTTGGGATTTTGGGATGTCCGTGCCTCCTTCCCTGAAATTTTTAGATCCCACTCTGGGATTTTTGGATCCCACTCTGGGATTTTGGGTTCCCACCTCCCTTGGAATGTTGGGATCCCACCCCTCCCTCCTCCCTGGAATCCTGGGCTGTCTGTTCCTCCCTCCTTGGGATTTTGGGGCCCCACCCCACCTTCTTCCCTGGGATTTTGGGATCCCACCTCACCTCCCTGCTTGGGATTTTGGGCTCCCACCCCTTCCTCCCTCATTGGGATTTTGGGATGTCCGTGCCTCCTTCCCTGAGGATTTTGGGATCTCACTCTGGGATTTTGGGTTCCCACTCCACCTTCCCACCCCCCTTGGAATGTTGGGATCCCACCCCTCCCTCCTCCCTGGAATCCTGGGCTGTCTGTTCCTCCCTCCTTGGGATTTTGGGATCCCACCCTTCATTCCTCCTTGGGATTTTGGGATGTCCGTGCCTCCTTCCCTGGGATTTTGGGCCACACCCCCCCTTCTTGGGATTTTGGGATCTCACTCTGGGATTTTGGGATCCCACCCCACCTCCCTCCTTGGGATTTTGGGATGTCCCTGCCTTCTTCCCTGGGATTTTGGGATCTCACTCTGAGATTTTGGGTTCCCACTCTGGGATTTTGGTTTCCCACCCCCCTTGGAATGTTGGGATCCCACCCCTCCCTTCTCCCTGGAATCCTGGGCTGCCTGTTCCTCCCTCCTTGGGATTTTGGGATCCCACCTACCTTCTGCCCCTTGAGATTCCTGGGATCCCATTCCAGCTTCTCCCTGGGATTTTGGGATTCCAACCCCCTTCCCTCCTTGGGATTTGGGGATTCCAGCCCTCCTCCATCCTTGGGATTTTGGGGTCCCATCTCTTTCTTCCACTCTGGGATTTTGGGTTGGAATGTTGGGATCCCACCCCTCCCTCCTCCCTGGAATCCTGGGCTGTCTGTTCCTCCCTCCCCTGGGATTTTGGGATCCCACCCCTCGGAATTCCAGGCTGCTCCCCACTGATTCCCACCGTCCTTTCGTCATTCCAGGCCTCCTCCCCCGCCTACAGCGGCTCCAACCTCTATTCCCCGGATTCCTCGGCCAATTCCGGCCCCATCATCTCCGACGTCACCGAGCTGGCCCCGTCCAGCCCCTCGGCCTCTCCCAGCGGGAGCCTGGATGGAAGGTGGGGATCCCATTCCCAGAAATTCCCTCCTCCTGTAGCTTCAACCCTCAGAGGGTCCCACGGAACCCCCCCGGGTTCCGTGGGACCCTCTGGGGCTGGGGGACACAGTTGGCTTCCACCCTCTGGAATTTGGGAATCAAGAGCCCCCTCAGGTTCCCCCATTCCTTGCCAGAGGTTCTCCCATTCCATAGGGAATTCCCCAGCCTTTCCCTGCATTCCCTGCTCAGCCCCATTCCCGCCCTCTCTCCTGAATTTCCTGATTCCCCCACCCGCTTCCCTCGGCTCCTCCTGCCCTCCCAGCTCCCAGCTCTCTTTTTTGGGCCATTCCTGGTTACATCCCCCAGGAATCCCATGGATTGCCTGGAATTCCCTGTGCCGGGAACATTCTCCCCCCAGGCCCAGCTCCTGCTATCCCAGGGGGATCCAACCTGGCCTGGGACACTCCCAGGGATCCAGGGGCAGCCACAGCTTCCCTGGGAATTCCAGCCCAGCCAGGAATCCCTTCCCAATCTCCCCCCTAACCCTGGGCAGCCATTCCCTGTGCCCCATCCCTCAATCCCTCATCCCAAATCCCTCTCCAGCTCTTCCTGGAGCCCCTTCAGGCCCTGCCAGGTTCTCCAAGGATCTCCCTGGATCCTTTCCCTTCTCCAGGGGAACATTCCCAGTTCCCTCATCCCCGAGTTCCCAGACGTTCCCTTGGAGCAAAGAATTCCTTCCCCACATCCCCCCATCCCTCCATCCCTCCCATTCCATGGTCCCATTGCCCCTGAGGAACATTCCGGGTGTCCCTGAGGATTCCTGGTGTCCCTGAGGAGCATTCCCCGTGTCCCCAAGGCACATTCCCATTGTCCCTGAGGAACATTCCCCGTGTCCCTGAGGAGCATTCCCGGTGTCATTCCCGCTGTCCCCGATGCCATTCCCACTATCCCTGATGCCATTCCCACTATCCCCGATGCCATTCCCACTATCCCCGATGCCATTCCCGCTATCCCTGATGCCATTCCCGCTATCCCCGATGCCATTCCCGCTATCCCCGATGCCATTCCCACTGTCCCCGATGCCATTCCTGCTGTCCCTGATGCCATTCCCGCTATCCCCGAGCATCATTCCCGCTATCCCTGATGCCATTCCCACTGTCCCCGATGCCATTCCCGCTATCCCTGATGCCATTCCCACTATCCCCGATGCCATTCTCGCTGTCCCCGATGCCATTCCCGCCGTCCCCGATGCCATTCCCACTGTCCCCGATGCCATTCCCGCTATCCCTGATGCCATTCCCGCTGTCCCCGATGCCATTCCCACTGTCCCCGATGCCATTCCCACTATCCCTGATGCCATTCCCACTATCCCCAATGCCATTCCCACTGTCCCCGATGCCATTCCCGCTATCCCCGATGCCATTCTCGCTGTTCCCGATGCCATTCCCACTATCCCCGATGCCATTCCCACTATCCCTGATGCCATTCCTGCTATCCCCGATGCCATCCCCACTATCCCCGATGCCATTCCTGCTATCCCCGATGCCATCCCCACTATCCCCGATGCCATTCCCGCTATCCCTGATGCCATTCCCGCTGTCCCCGATGCCATTCCCACTATCCCTGATGCCATTCCCGCTATCCCCGATGCCATTCCCACTATCCCCGATGCCATTCCCGCTGTCCCTGATGCCATTCCCGCTATCCCTGATGCCATTCCCACTATCCCCGATGCCATTCCCACTATCCCTGATGCCATTCCCGCTATCCCCGATGCCATTCCCGCTGTCCCTGATGCCATTCCCGCTATCCCTGATGCCATTCCCACTATCCCCGATGCCATTCCCACTATCCCCGATGCCATTCCCGCTATCCCTGATGCCATTCCCGCTATCCCCGATGCCATTCCCACTGTCCCCGATGCCATTCCCGCTATCCCCGATGCCATTCCCACTATCCCCGAGTGCTATTCCCGCTGTCCCTGATGCCATTCCCGCTATCCCCGATGCCATTCCCACTATCCCCGATGCCATTCCCACTATCCCCGATGCCATTCCCACTATCCCTGATGCCATTCCCACTGTCCCCAAGACTCATTCCCACTATCCCCGAGGATCATTCCTGCTGTCCCTGAGAAGCACTCCCAGTGTCCCTGAGGAGCATTCCTGGTGTCATTCCCACTATCCCCAAGGCTCATTCCCACTGTCCCCGATGCCATTCCCACTGTCCCCGATGCCATTCCCACTATCCCCAATGCCATTCCCGCTATCCCTGATGCCATTCCCACTATCCCTGATGCCATTCCCTCTATCCCCGATGCCATTCCCTCTATCCCCGATGCCATTCCCGCTATCCCTGATGCCATTCCCACTATCCCTGATGCCATTCCCACTATCCCTGATGCCATTCCCTCTATCCCCGATGCCATTCCCTCTATCCCCGATGCCATTCCCGCTATCCCTGATGCCATTCCCACTATCCCCGATGCCATTCCCGCTATCCCCGATGCCATTCCCGCCGTCCCCGATGCCATTCCCACTATCCCTGATGCCATCCCCACTATCCCCGATGCCATTCTCGCTATCCCCGATGCCATTCCCGCTGTCCCCGATGCCATTCCCACTGTCCCCGATGCCATTCCCACTATCCCCAAGGCTCATTCCCACTATCCCTGATGCCATTCCCGCTATCCCCGATGCCATTCCCACTATCCCCGATGCCATTCCCACTGTCCCTGATGCCATTCCCACTGTCCCCAAGACTCATTCCCACTATCCCCGAGGATCATTCCTGCTGTCCCTAAGAAGCACTCCCAGTGTCCCTGAGGAGCATTCCTGGTGTCATTCCCACTATCCCCAAGGCTCATTCCCACTGTCCCTGATGCCATTCCCACTATCCCCGATGCCATTCCCACTATCCCCGATGCCATTCCCGCTGTCCCCGATGCCATTCCCACTGTCCCCAAGGCTCATTCCCACTATCCCTGATGCCATTCCCGCTGTCCCTGATGCCATTCCCGCTATCCCCGATGCCATTCCCGCTATCCCCGATGCCATTCCCGCTATCCCTGATGCCATTCCCGCTGTCCCCGATGCCATTCCCACTATCCCTGATGCCATTCCCGCTATCCCCGATGCCATTCCCACTATCCCCGATGCCATTCCCGCTGTCCCCGATGCCATTCCCGCTGTCCCCGATGCCATTCCCGCTATCCCCGATGCCATTCCCGCTGTCCCCGATGCCATTCCCGCTGTCCCCGATGCCATTCCCACTGTCCCCAAGGCTCATTCCCACTATCCCTGATGCCATTCCCGCTATCCCCGATGCCATTCCCGCTGTCCCCGATGCCATTCCCGCTGTCCCCGATGCCATTCCCGCTATCCCTGATGCCATTCCCGCTGTCCCCGATGCCATTCCCACTGTCCCTGATGCCATTCCCGCTGTCCCCGATACCATTCCCTCTATCCCCGATGCCATTCCCGCTGTCCCTGATGCCATTCCCACTATCCCTGATGCCATTCCCACTATCCCTGATGCCATTCCCGCCATCCCCGATGCCATTCCCGCTGTCCCCAAGGATCATTCCCGCTGTCCCCGATGCCATTCCCGCCGTTCCCATGGCTCATTCCCTGTGTGTGTCCGCCAGGAACAGCCCTCCGGTGCGGATCAAGGAGGAGCCTGCCAGCCCCGAGCGGAGCCCGCGGGTGGAGGAGCCGGGCGCGGGGGGCGCGGGGGGCGCGGGGGGCGCGGCCGAGACGCCGCTGTCGCCGTCCACCTTCATCGACGCCATCCTGCGGGACAGCGACCCCCCCGCGCCCGCCGACGGCCCCGCCGCGCCCCCCGCCCACGACAAGTGCCTCAGCGTCGCCTGCCTCGACAAGTGAGTGCCGGGAACGCGCGCGGAGCTCCCTCCGGAAGCACGGCCGGGGTCTCGTCATTCCCACTGTCATTCCCACTGCCATTCCCGCTGCCATTCCCGCTGCCATTCCCTCTGTCATTCCCGCTGTCATTCCCGCTCCCAATCCCACTGCCATTCCCGCTGCCATTCCCGCTGCCATTCCCGCTGCCATTCCCGCCGGGAACGCGCGCGGAGCTCCCTCCGGAAGCACGGCCGGGGTCTCTGCCATTCCCGCTGCCATTCCCGCTGCCATTCCCACTGCCATTCCCGCTGCCATTCCCGCTGCCATTCCCGCTGCCATTCCCACTGCCATTCCCGCTGCCATTCCCGCTGCCATTCCCGCTGTCATTCCCACTGCCATTCCCGCCGGGAACATGCGGGGAGCTCCCTCTGGAAGCACGGCCGGGCTCTCGTCATTCCCGCTCCCATTCCCGCCGCCATTCCCGCCGCCATTCCCGCTCCCATTCCCGCTCCCATTCCTGCCGTCATTCCCGCTCCCATTCCCACTCCCATTCCCACCGCCATTCCCACTCCCATTCCCGCTGCCATTCCCACCGCCATTCCCACTCCCATTCCCGCTGCCATTCCCGCTGCCATTCCCACTCCCATTCCTGCTGCCATTCCCGCTGCCATTCCTACCGCCATTCCCGCTCCCATTCCCGCTGCCATTCCCACTGCCATTCCCACTGCCATTCCCACTCCCATTCCCACTGCCATTCCCTGTCCTGCTGGAGCAGGGGGGGGGTTTTGTCTGGGTTTATTTCTGGGTTTAAATTGCAGGTTTGGGGACATCGTGGGTCCAACCCCTCTCTCCATCCTTGGGAATTTGGGATCCCACCCCTTCCTCCCTCCCTGGGATTTTGGGGATTCCAGCCCTCCTCCCTCCTTGGGATTTGGGGATTCCAACCCCCTTCCTTCCTCCCTGGGATTTGGGGATTCCAACCCTCCTCCATCCCTGGGATTTTGGGGTCTCATCGCTTCCTTCCTCCCTGGGATTTGGGGATTCTGCCCCCTCTCCCTCCCTGGGATTTTGGGATCCCACCCCCACCTTCTTCCCTGGGATTTTGGGATCCCACCCCAGCTTCCCTCTGCGATTTTGGGGATTCCAACCCCCCTCCCTCGCTGGAATTTGGGCTCCCACCCTTCATTCCTCCTTGGGATTTTGGGATGTCCATGCCTCCTTCCCTGGGATTTTGGGCCACACCCCCCCTTCTTGGGATTTCGGGATCCCACTCTGGGATTTTGGGATCCCAGGGCTGCTCCGGAGATCCCAAAACGAGGGATCGGAATTCCAGGGCTTGGTGCCGAGTCCTGCGGTGCTGGCACGGGGTGGGGCACTGTGGGATCACTGTGGGATCACTGAGGGATCTCTGTGGGATCACTGTGGGATCGCTGTGGGATCACTGCGGGATCACTGTGGGATCACTGTGGGATCACTGTGGGATCACTGTGGGATCACTGAGGGATCGCTGTGGGATCACTGTGGGATCACTGAGGGATCGCTGTGGGATCACTGTGGGATCACTGTGGGATCACTGTGGGATCACTGAGGGATCACTGTGGGATCACCGTGGGATCTCTGTGGGATCACTGAGGGATCGCTGTGGGATCGCTGTGGGATCACTGTGGGATCACTGTGGGATCACTGAGGGATCACTGTGGGATCACTGTGGGATCACTGTGGATCACTGAGGATCTCTGTGGATCACTGTGGGATCGCTGTGGGATCACTGTGGGATCACTGTGGGATCACTGTGGGATCACTGAGGGATCACTGAGGGATTGCTGTGGGATCACTGTGGGATCACTGAGGGATCGCTGTGGGATCACTATGGAATCACTGAGGGATCACTGGGATCACTGCAGGATCACTGTGGGATCACTATGGAATCACTGTGGGATCACTGTGGGATCACTGTGGGATTGCTGTGAGATCACTGTGAGATCACTGTGGGGTCACTGTGGGATCACTGAGGGATCACTGCACTGTGGGATCACTGAGGGATCACTGAGGGATCACTGTGGGATCACTGTGGGATCACTGAGGGATCACTAGGATCACTGAGGGATCGCTGTGGGATTGCTGTGAGATCACTGTGGGATCACTGAGGGATCACTGAGGGATCACTGTGGGATCACTGTGGGATCACTGAGGGATCACTGAGGGATCACTGAGGGATCACTGCACTGTGAGATCACTGTGGGATTGCTGTGAGATCACTGTGGGATCACTGTGGGATCACTGAGGGACCGCTGTGGGATCACTGCACTGTGGGATCACTGAGGGATCACTGTGGGATCACTGTGGGATCACTGAGGATCACTGAGGTGCGGATCACTGAGGGGATCACGTGCTGGGATCACTGAGGACACTGTGGGATCACTGAGGACCGCTGTGGGATCACTGTGGGATCACTGGATCAGGATCACTGCACTGTGGGATCACTGCTGTGGGATCACTGAGGGATCACTGTGGATCACTGTGGGATCACTGAGGATCACTGGGATTGCTGTGGATCACCGTGAGATCACTGTGTGTGAGATCACTGTGGGATCACTGTGGGATCACTGAGGGATCACTGTGGGATCACTGAGGGATCACTGTGGGATCACTGTGAGATCACTGTGGGATTGCTGTGAGATCACTGTGGGATCACTGTGGGATCACTGAGGGATCACTGTGGGATCACTGCAGGATCAGCAGCTCTTCCTTCAGGGATTGGTGGTCGCATTCCCAGCACAATCCCACAGCAATCCCATTCCAGGGTGGAGCTGTGGGTGGGGTTGGGGGAGCTGCAGGCACCCAATTCCATGAACCCGCTCCAGGAGCTCATCCCAGCGCTTCCCGGGGCTGTCCCGTCCCTGTCCCAGCCAATTCCCACGGAATTCAGCCTTCTGTGCCCCCATCCCAGGGAATTCAGCCCCCTCTGAGCCCCCATCCCAGGGAATTCAGCCTTCTGTGCTCTCATTCCAGGGAATTCAGCCTTCCCGAACCCCCATCCCAGGGAATTCAGCCTTCCCCTGCCCCCATTCCAGGGAATTCAGCCTTCTGTGCTCCCATCCCAGGGAATTCAGCCTTCCCCTGCCCCCATCCCAGGGAATTCAACCTTTCCCTACTCCCATTCCAGGGAATTCACCCCCCCCGTGCCCCCATCCCAGGGAATTCAGCCTTCCTGAACCCCCCATTCCAGGGAATTCAGCCTTCCCATACCCCCATCCCAGGGAATTCAGCCTTCCCCTGCTCTCATCCCAGGGAATTCAGCCTTCTGTGCCCCCATCCCCAGGAATTCAACCTTCCTGAGCCCCCCATCCCAGGGAATTCAGCCTTCTGTGCCCCCATCCCAGGGAATTCAGCCCCCTCTGAGCTCCCCATCCCAGGGAATTCAACCTTCCTGAGCCCCCATCCCAGGGAATGTTGGCAGGGAAAAGCTCCAGGGGTGTTCCCAAACATCGCCCCCCACCCAGCCGGGCACCCTCGGGAGCCCCACATCCCAAAGTGTCCTCAGGCTCCGGGATCCCAGCCCAGGAGAGACCTGGAGCTGCTGGAGAGAGTCCAGAGGGGACATGGGAATGCTCCCAGGGCTGGAGCCAGGCTGGGAGAGCTGGGAATGTTCCCCTGGAGAAGGGAAGGATCCAGGGAGAGCTGAGAGCCCCTGGCAGGGCCTGAAGGGGCTCCAGGAGAGCTGGAGAGGGATTTGGGATGAGGGCTGGAGGGACAGCACACAGGGAATGGCTGCCCAGGGTTAGGGGGGAGATTGGGAAGGGATTCCTGGCTGGGAGGGTGGGGAGGGGCTGGGCTGGAATTCCCAGGGAAGCTGTGGCTGCCCCTGGATCCCTGGAGTGTCCCAGGCCAGGCTGGATCCCCCTGGGATGGTGGGAGCTGTCCCTGCCCACGGCAGGATGGGATTTAAGGACCTTTCCCACCCAGACCATTCCAGAATTCCATGCTGGGGGCCTGTCCATGTTCAGCTCTTTCTGCCACCCCCCTCTGGTCCCAGGTGGAATCCAGTGGGAATGTTCGGTTCCCCAGCAGCAGCTCCAGTTCTCCCCATCATTCCCAGTAGCTCCATCTCCTCCTGGGTGGTGTTTTCCCACCTCCAGCCCCCTGGGAAGGGATTTCTGATCCCCCTGGAATTTCCCAGCAAAGCAAAGCGAGTTTTGTGCCCTTCCTTTTGCCAGGGATCCACGCCTGGCAGGGGATGGGATTTGGGCTGGGAAAGGGTCTGGAATTCCCAGGGGGAGCTGGGGACTCTGGGCCCTGCTTCCCTTGGGATATCGGGGACAGATCCAGGGATCCCAGCCCCCAATCCCTTGGGATGTCAGTGGGCAGATCCAGGGATCCCAGCCCTGCTCCCATTGGGATGTTGGGGCAGATCCAGGGATCCCAGCCTCCAATCCCTTGGGATGTTGGGGCAGATCCAGGGATCCCAGCCCCCAATCCCTTGGGATGTTGGGGCAGATCCAGGGATCCCAACCTCCAATCCCCTGGAATGTTGGGGCAGATCCAGGGATCCCAGCCCTGCTCCCATTGGGATGTTGGGGCAGATCCAGGGATCCCAGCCCCCAATCCCTTGGGATGTTGGGGCAGATCCAGGGATCCCAACCTCCAATCCCATTGGGATGTTGGGGCAGATCCAGGGATCCCAGCCCTGCTCCCATTGGGATGTTGGGGCAGATCCAAGGATCCCAACCTCCAATCCCCTGGAATGTTGGGGCAGATCCAGGGATCCCAACCCCCAATCCCATTGGGATCCCAGCCCTGCTGCCGTTGGAATGCTGGGCACAGATCCCGGGATCCCGGCCCTGCTCCCGTTGGGATGTCAGGGATTCAGCGCCTTGGGGTGGATGAACCTCCCAGGCATGGGAAGAGCCCCCCTCAGCGCTGATTCCCTGCTCCCGCTCTGCATTCCCGCCAGGAATGAACTCAACGACCACCTGGACACCATCGACTCCAACCTGGACAACCTGCAGACCATGCTGACCACGCACGGCTTCAGCATGGACAGCGCCCTGCTGGATGTGAGTATTCCCGGGATCCTGGCATTCCCGGCATTCCCGGCATTCCCAATGTCCCAATGTCCCTGCACGGGAGTATTCCCAGCATTCCCGGCATTCCCAACATTCCCAGTATCCCAGGGGGCACCAACAGCGCCCTGCTGGACGTGAGTATTCCAGCATTCCCGGCATTCCCAGCATTCCCAGCATTCCCAGTGTCCCTGCACGGGAGTATTCCTGGGATCCCAGCATTCCCAGCATTCCCAGTGTCCCTGCACGGGAGTATTCCTGGGATCCCAGCATTCCCAGCATTCCCAGCATTCCCAGTGTCCCTGCATGGGAGTATTCCTGGGATCCCAGCATTCCTGGCATTCCCAGTGTCCCAGGGGGCACGGACAGTGCCCTGCTGGGCAAGAGTATTCCCGGGATCCCGGCATTCCCAGTGTCCGAATGTTCCTAAACAGGAGTATTCCCGGGATCCCAGTGTCCCAGTGTTCCTAAACAGGAGTATTCCTGGCATTCCCAGTGTCCCAGGGGGCATGGACAGCACCCTACTGGGCAGGAGTATTCCCGGGATCACGGCATTCCCGGCATTCCCGGTGTCCCAATGTCCCTGCATGGGAGTATTCCTGGGATCCCGGCATTCCCAGCATTCCCAGTGTCCCAGGGGGCACCGACAGCGCCCTGCTGGGCAGGAGTATTCCCAGGATCCCAGCATTCCCGGCATTCCCAGTGTCCCTGCACAGGAGTATTCCCGGGATCCCGGCATTCCCAGTGTCCCAGGGGGCACGGACAGCACGGGAGTATTCCCAGATTCCCGGCATTCCCAGTGTCCCAATGTCTCTGCACGGGAGTATTCCTGGGATCCCGGCATTCTCAGTGTTCCATGGGACGTGGGCAGCACCCTGCTGGGCAGGAGTATTCCCGGGATCCCGGCATTCCCAGTGTTCCAGTGTTCCATGGGACATGGACAGCGCCCTGCTGGGCAGGAGTATTCCTGGGATCCCGGCATTCCCAGGGAAGCACCCACAGCCCCGACCCCACAAACTCCGGGGAGCGTTTGGGAAGGGCTCTCTGGACAGGGGTGGGATTTGGGGGCTCCTGGGGTTGGGCTCGGATCCCTGGGGGTCCCTTCCCACTGGGATATCCCACAGGGATATTCCATGATTCCCTCTCTGTGGTCCCAGTGTCCCATTCCCGTGGCAGCTGCACCGCAGTGGATTTGTCCACGAGCTTCCCACACGCTGGGAGTGTCCCCCAATCCCTGTTCCCCCTTATCCCCATTTCTCCCCAATCCCTGTTCCCTCAATCCCTGTTCCCCCAATCCCTGTTCCCCAATCCCTGTTCCCTGATCCCTGTTCCCCAATCCCTGTTTCCCAGTTCCTGTCAATCCCTGTTCCCCAATCCCTGTTTCCCAGTTCCTGTTCAATCCCTGTTCAATCCCTGTTCAATCCCTGTTCCCTCAATCCCTGTTCCCCAACCCCTGTGCAATCCCTGTTCAATCCCTGCTTTCCCAATCCCTGTTTTCCTGATCCCTGTTTCCCTCTCAGCTGTTCAGCCCTTCCATGACGGTCACGGACATGAACCTGCCCGACCTGGACAGCAGCTTGGCCAGCGTGAGTTCCTTCCCCCATCCCCAGGGATTCCATGGGCTGTCCCGGGGCAGGGCTGGCACTGGGAGGCACTGGGAGGAACTGGGAGGAACTGGGAGCCTCCAGGTGGGAAGAAGGGATTAGCACATCCCGGTAATCGGTGAAATGGGCCTGGAGGTTCCCAAAACCCCCCTTGTCCCGTCCTGGCTCCCTCGGCTGTTCCCAAATCCTTTGGGATGGGAGTCACATCCCAGTCCAGAGCCCCAGCCCTGGGATCAGCCTTGGAGCCCATTCCCAAATCCTTTGGGGTGGGAGTCACGTCCCAGTCCAGAGCCCCAGCCCCTTGGAGCCCATTCCCAAATCCTTTGGGGTGGGAGTCACATCCCAATCCAGAGCCCCAGCCCTGGGATCAGCCTTGGAGCCCATTCCCAAATCCCTGCTCTCCCCTTGGAGCCCGTTCCCAAATCCCTGCTCTCCCCTCGGAGCCCGTTCCCAAATTCCTGCTCTGCCCTTGGAGCCCGTTCCCAAATCCCTGCTCTGCCCTTGGAGCCCGTTCCCAAATCCCTGCTCTGCCCTTGGAGCCCGTTCCCAAATCCCTGCTCTCCCCTTGGAGCCCGTTCCCAAATCCCTGCTCTCCCCTTGGAGCCCGTTCCCAAATCCCTGCTCTCCCCTTGGAGCCCCTTCCCAAATTCCTGTTCTGCCCTTGGAGCCCGTTCCCAAATCCCTGCTCTCCCCTTGGAGCCCCTTCCCAAATCCCTGCTCTCCCCTTGGAGCCCGTTCCCAAATCCCTGCTCTCCCCTTGGAGCCCGTTCCCAAATCCCTGCTCTGCCCTTGGAGCCCATTCCCAATCCCTGCTCTCCCCTTGGAGCCCGTTCCCAAATCCCTGCTCTCCCCTTGGAGCCCATTCCCAAATCCCTGCTCTGCCCTTGGAGCCCATTCCCAATCCCTGCTCTCCCCTTGGAGCCCGTTCCCAATCCCTGCTCTCCCCTTGGAGCCCGTTCCCAAATCCTTTGGGGTGGGAGTCACATCCCCCTGGGATCAGCCTTGGAGCCAATTCCCAAATCCCTGCTCTCTCCTTGGAGCCCGTTCCCAATCCCTGCTCTCCCCTTGGAGCCCGTTCCCAATCCCTGCTCTCCCCTTGGAGCCCGTTCCCAAATCCTTTGGGGTGGGAGTCACATCCCCTGGGATCAGCCTTGGAGCCCGTTCCCAAATCCCTGCTCTGCCCTTGGAGCCTGTTCCCAAATCCCTGCTCTCCCCTTGGAGCCCGTTCCCAAATCCCTGCTCTCCCCTTGGAGCCCGTTCCCAAATCCCTGCTCTCCCCTTGGAGCCCATTCCCAAATCCCTGCTCTCCCCTTGGAGCCCGTTCCCAAATCCCTGCTCTCCCTTGGAGCCCGTTCCCAAATCCCTGCTCTCCCCTTGGAGCCCATTCCCAATCCCTGCTCTCCCCTTGGAGCCCGTTCCCAAATCCCTGCTCTCCCCTTGGAGCCCGTTCCCAAATCCCTGCTCTCCCCACCAAGGGATGCTTTGGGGTGGGTTTAACCCCCCCCCGGTGCGGAACTGGAAACATCCCAAAAGGTTTGGTGATCCAGGGAAAGCCAACCTGAATCCTTGTAGGAATATAATATATGTAATAATATAAAATAATATAATACATTCCATATACAATAATATAATATATGCAATAATATATGTAATAATATAATATATAAGAATATAATACATTCTATATGTAATAATATATACAATAATATATACAATAATACATGTAATAATATATAAGAATATAATACATTCTATATGTAATAATATATACATTAATATATGTAATAATATATATATAATAATATAATACATTCTATACGTAATAGTATATACAATAATGTATGTAAAAATATAATGTATAAGAATATAATACATTCTACATGTAGTAATATAATATATACAATAATATATAGAATAATTTAATATATAAAATCAATATAATATATACAATAATATATACAATCAATATAATATATGCAATCAATATAATATATACAATAATATATGTAATAATATAATATATAAGAATATAATGCATTCTATACATAATAATATATACAATAATATATGCAATAATATAATGTATAAGAATATAATACATTCTACATGTAATAATGTAATAATCAATATAGTATATACACTAATATAATGTATACAATCAATATAATATATACAATAGTATGATATGTACAATAATATAATATATACAATCAATATAATATATACAGTAATATAATATATACAGTAATATAATATATACCTTCAATATAATATATATACTAGTATGATATATACAATAATATAATATAATATATACAATAAATATAATATATACAATAATATAATATATACAATAATGTAATATCTACAATAAATATAATATATAGAATAGTATGATATATACAATAATAACAATAATATAATATATACAACAATATAATATATGCAATAGTATGATAACATGGTAGTGATTATAGCTTATTAAATATATATAATGATTCTTATTTGCTCACCTGTTATGCTCTCTATATTATATAATATTTAATGTAATATTTAAGGCGATATTAATCTGATCTTATGGAATGATAACTGTAACAATTACCAAGATACATCAATTGTAAAATTATTTTAAAAATAAATAGAATTGCTCACTCCCAGCACTTCCAGGGGTCTCTGGAGCGGGGCTGGAGCTGATGGGGGGTGGGGGTAATTCCCAGGGAGCCCCCCAGCCCTGACCCCCCCTGTCCCTGCAGATCCAGGACCTCCTCTCGGCCCAGGAGCAGCAGAAACCGGCGGAGACGGAGGCGGGAACGGCGGACACAGGTACCCCTGAGCCCAAAAAATGGGATTTGGGGGGACACAGGTACCCCTGAGCCCAAAAAATGGGATTTGGGGGGGGCACAGGTACCCCTGAGCCCAAAAAATGGGATTTGGGGGGACACAGAGACCCCCTGAGCCCAAAAAATGGGATTTGGGGGCACAGGTACCCTGAGCCCAAAAAATGGGATTTGGGGGGCACAGGTACCCCCTGAGCCCAAAAAATGGGATTTGGGGGGGCACAGAGACCCCTGAGCCCAAAAAATGGGATTTGGGGGGGGCACAGGTACCCCTGAGCCCAAAAAATGGGATTTGGGGGGGCACAGAGACCCCTGAGCCCAAAAAATGGGATTTGGGGGGGCACAGAGACCCCTGAGCCCAAAAAATGGGATTTGGGGGGCACAGGTACCCCCTGAGCCCAAAAATGGGATTTGGGGGACACAGAGACCCTGAGCCCAAAAATGGGATTTGGGGGGCACAGGGACCCCTGAGCCCAAAAATGGGATTTGGGGGACAGAGGATGCCCCCTGAGCCCAAAAATGGGATTTGGGGGCACAGAGACCCCCTGAGCCCAAAAAATGGGATTTGGGGGACAGAGGTGCCCCCTGAGCCCAAAAAATGGGATTTGGGGGGGCACAGGTACCCCTGAGCCCCAAAAATGGGATTTGGGGGTGGCACAGGTACCCCTGAGCCCAAAAACTGGGATTGGGGGGGGCACAGGTACCCCTGAGCCCAAAAAATGGGATTTGGGGGGGCACAGGTACCCCTGAGCCCAAAAATGGGATTTGGGGGGGCACAGGTACCCCTGAGCCCAAAAAATGGGATTTGGGGGGACACAGAGACCCCCTGAGCCCAAAAAATGGGATTGGGCAGGGATCAGAGACCCCCTGATCCCAGAAATGGGGATTGGGCAGGGATCAGAGATTCCCTGATCCCAGAAATGGGGATTGGGCAGGGGGCAGAGATTCCCTGATCCCCAAAACTCCAGTCTGGAGACAGAGACCCCCCCGAGGCTGCCGGGCCTGGGAACAAAAAAGTGAGGAGTGGGATCTGAGCTGGGGGGGGAAATCCCTGATGGGAATTGCTGTTCTGTCCCTGAAAATGGGAATTGTTATTCAGTCCCTAATGGGAATTGTTATTCCATCCCTAAAAATTGGAATTGTTATTCCATCCCTAAAAATTGGAATTGTTATTCCATCCCTAATGGGAACTGTTATTCCATCCCTAAAGATGGGAATTGTTATCCCATCCCTAATGGGAATTGTTATTCAGTCCCTAAAAATGGGAATTGTTATTCCATCCCTAAAGATGGGAACTGTTATTCCATCCCTAATGGGAATTGTTATTCAGTCCCTAAAAATGGGAATTGTTACTCAGTCCCTAAAAATGGGAATTGTTATCCCATCCCTAGTGGGAACTGTTATTCCATCCCTAAAAATGGGAATTGTTATTCCATCCCTAAAGATGGGAATTGTTATCCCATCCCTAATGGGAACTGTTACTCGGTCCCTAAAATTGGGAATGACCGCTCAGTCCCCGAGGGGAATCGTTCTTCCCTTCCCCATGGGAATGGTTCTTCCATCCCTGGTGGGAATGTGGAGGGAGCCTGGAGCGCCTCTGTGGGGCCCTGGCAGGATCAGAGCCATGGAATTCCAGCCCTGGAATGCGGGGGCTGCCCCATCCCTGGCAGTGTCCCGGGTTGGGTTGGAGCCTCGTGGGGCAGGGCTGGCACTGGGGGGGATTCAAGGTCCCTCCAACCCATCCCATCCTGGGATTCTTCTTCCTGCTGCTGGGTTGGCTCCATCTTCCATCCCAGATCCCCCCTGCCCATCCCAGATCCCCCCTGCCCATCCCAGATCCCCCCTGCCCATCCCAGATCCTCTCTGCCCATCCCAGATCCCCCTGCCCATCCCAGATCCCCCCTGCCTGTCCCAGATCCCCTCTGTCCATCCCAGATCCCCCCTGCCCATCCCAGATCCCCCCTGCCCATCCCAGACACCCCCTGTCCATCCCAGACACCCCCTGTCCATCCCAGATCCCCCTGCCCATCCCAGATCCCCCCTGCCCATCCCAGATCCCCCCTGCCCATCCCAGACACCCCCTGTCCATCCCAGATCCCCCTGCCCATCCCAGACACCCCCTGCCCATCCCAGACACCCCCTGCCCATCCCAGATCCCCCTGTCCATCCCAGATCCCCCTGCCCATCCCAGACACCCCCTGCCCATCCCAGACACCCCTGCCCATCCCAGACACCCCTGACCATCCCAGACACCCCCTGCCCATCCCAGACACCCCCTGTCCATCCCAGATCCCCCTGCCCATCCCAGACACCCCCTGCCCATCCCAGACACCCCCTGTCCATCCCAGATCCCCCTGCCCATCCCAGACACCCCCTGCCCATCCCAGACACCCCCTGCCCATCCCAGATCACCCCTGCCCATCCCAGATCCCCCCTGCCCATCCCAGATCCCCTCTGCCCATCCCAGATCCCCCCTGTCCATCCCAGATCCCCTCTGCCCATCCCAGATCCCCCTGCCCATCCCAGATCCCCCTGCCCATCCCAGATCCCCCTGCCCATCCCAGACACCCCCTGCCCATCCCAGACACCCCTGCCCATCCCCAGACACCCCCTGTCCATCCCAGATCCCCCCTGCCCATCCCAGATCCCCCCTGCCCATCCCAGATCCCCACTATGTCCCCCCTCCATATTCCCGGGATGCATCCCGTTCCCTGCCTGTGTCTCCCCTTGGTATTCCTGGGAAGCAGCCCATTCCCAGCCCTGTCCCTCGGTGTTCCCGGGAAGCAGCTGGTTCCCTGCCCGTGTCTCCCCTCAGTATTCCCGGGAAGCAGCCCATTGGTGTTCCCAGGAAGCAACCCATTCCCTGTCCCTCAGTATTCCCAGAAAGCAACCCATTCCCATTCCCGTTCCCATTCCCATTCCGTATTTCAGGGAAGCAGCCCATTCCTGTTCCCATTCCCGTTCCCGTTCCATGTTTCAGGGAAGCAACCCGTTCCCGTTCCCATTCCCGTTCCCATTCCCATTCCCATTCCATGTTTCAGGGAAGCAGCCCGTTCCCATTCCCGTTCCTGTTCCCATTCCCATTCCCATTCCCGTTCCCTGTGCCTGTCTTTCAGGGAAGCAGCCCATTCCCATTCCCGTTCCCATTCCCATTCCCGTTCTGTTTTTCAGGGAAGCAGCCCGTTCCCATTCCTGTTCCCATTCCCATTCCCGTTCCCATTCCATGTTTCAGGGAAGCAGCCCGTTCCCATTCCCATTCCCGTTCCCATTCCCGTTCCCGTTCCCATTCCCGTTTCCATTCCGTTTTTCAGGGAAGCAGCCCGTTCCCATTCCCGTTCCCATTCCATGTTTCAGGGAAGCAGCCCGTTCCCATTCCCGTTCCCGTTCCCATTCCCGTTCCCGTTCCCATTCCCGTTTCCATTCCGTTTTTCAGGGAAGCAGCCTGTTCCCGTTCCCATTCCCATTCCCATTCCCTGTGCCCGTTTTTCAGGGAAGCAGCCCATTCCCGTTCCCATTCCCGTTCCTGTTCCCATTCCCGTTCCCATTCCCGTTCCCGTTCCGTGTTTCAGGGAAGCAGCCTGTTCCCATTCCCGTTCCCATTCTCGTTCCCATTCTCGTTCCCATTCCCATTCCCTGTGCCCGTTTTTCAAGGAAGCAGCCCGTTCCCGTTCCCATTCCCGTTCCCATTCCATGTTCCAGGGAAGCAGCCTGTTCCCATTCCCGTTCCCGTTCCATGTTCCAGGGAAGCAGCCCGTTCCCATTCCGTTCTGTTCCCATTCCATGTTCCTGGAAACAGCCTGTTCCGTTCCCATTCCCATTCCTGTTCCCATTCCTGTTCCCCTTCCTGTTCCCCTTCCTGTTCCCATTCCCATTCCTTTCCGTTCCCATTCCGTTCCCGTTCCCATTCCTGTTCCCATTCCCGTTCCCATTCCCTTTCCCGTTCCATTCCCGTTCGTTCCCATTCCCATTCCCGTTCCGTTCCATGTTCCAGGAAGCAGCCTGTTCAGGAAGCAGCCCGTTCCCATTCCCGTTCCGTTCCCATTCCCGTTCCCGTTCCCATTCCATGTTCCAGGGAAGCAGCCTGTTCCCGTTCCCATTCCCATTCCCGTTCCCATTCCTGTTCCCATTCCCATTCCCGTTCCCGTTCCGTGTTTCAGGGAAGCAACCCGTTCCCATTCCTGTTCCCATTCCCGTTCCCATTCCCATTCCTGTTCCCGTTCCATGTTTCCGAGTCCTGTTCCCATTCCTGTTCCCATTCCGGTTCCCATTCCTGTTCCCATTCCTTTCCGTTCCCATTCCCGTTCCCATTCCTGTTCTGTTCCCATTCCTGTTCCCATTCCCTTCCGTTCCCATTCCCATTCCCTTTCCTGTTCCCATTCCTGTTCCCATTCCTGTTCCCATTCCTGTTCCATTCCCATTCCCATTCCTGTTCCATTCCTGTTCCCTTCCCGTTCCATTCCTGTTCGTTCCCATTCCTGTTCCCATTCCATTCCTGTTCCCGTTCCCATTCCGTTCCCTTCCCATTCTGTTCCCATTCCTTTCCGTTCCCATTCCCATTCCTTCCCGTTCCCATTCCGTCCCATTCCCCTTCCCATTCCTGTTCCCATTCCTGTTCCCATTCCCGTTCCCTTCCATTCCGTTCCATTCCCATTCCCATTCCTGTTCCCATTCCCTGTTCCTGTTCCCATTCCCGTTCCGTTCCCATTCCTGTTCCCATTCCTGTTCCCATTCCCGTTCCCATTCCCATTCCCTTTCCCGTTCCCATTCCCGTTCCCGTTCCCATTCCACGTTCCCATTCCCGTTCCCATTCCCTTTCCCGTTCCCATTCCCGTTCCCGTTCCCATTCCCATTCCCGTTCCCGTTCCATTTCCGGTTCAGCCTGTTCCAGGAAGCATTCCCGTTCCCATTCCCTCGTTCCCGTTCCCATTCCCATTCCCGTTCCACGTTCCATGTTCCAGGAAGCTGCCTGTTCCCGTTCCCATTCCCATTCCCGTTCCCATTCCTGTTCCCATTCCCATTCCCGTTCCCGTTCCGTGTTTCAGGGAAGCAACCCGTTCCCATTCCTGTTCCCATTCCCGTTCCCATTCCCATTCCTGTTCCCGTTCCATGTTTCAGGCAAGCAGCCCGTTCCCATTCCTGTTCCCATTCCCGTTCCCATTCCTGTTCCCATTCCCTTCCCGTTCCCATTCCTGTTCCCATTCCCGTTCCCGTTCCCATTCCCGTTCCCATTCCCTTTCCCGTTCCCATTCCCATTCCCTTTCCCGTTCCCATTCCCGTTCCCATTCCTGTTCCCATTCCCGTTCCCATTCCCATTCCCATTCCCGTTCCCATTCCTGTTCCCATTCCCGTTCCCATTCCTGTTCCCATTCCCTTTCCCGTTCCCATTCCCGTTCCCGTTCCCATTCCCGTTCCCGTTCCCATTCCCGTTCCCATTCCCTTTCCCGTTCCCATTCCCATTCCCTTTCCCGTTCCCATTCCCGTTCCCATTCCCGTTCCCATTCCCGTTCCCGTTCCCATTCCCTTTCCTGTTCCCATTCCCGTTCCCGTTCTGTTTTTCAGGGAAGCAGCCCATTCCCATTCCCGTTCCCATTCCATGTTCCAGGGAAGCAGCCTGTTCCCATTCCCGTTCCCATTCCCGTTCCCATTCCATGTTCCGGGGAAGCAGCCCATTCCCATTCCCGTTCCCATTCCATGTTCCAGGGAAGCAGCTGGTTCACTACACGGCGCAGCCGCTCTTCCTGGTGGACTCGAGCGCCGTGGACGTGGCCGGGGGGGACCTGCCCATCTTCTTCGAGCTGGGCGAGGGGCCGTATTTCACCGACGGGGAGTACCCCGAGGAGCCCCCCGGCTCGCTGCTGGCCGGCCCCGAGCCCCGGCCCCGCGACCCGGGCGTGTCCTAAACCCGGCACGGCACGGGAGGAGGAGGAGGAGGAGGAGGCGCTGAAGGGAAGCCCCGCTCGGCACCGCCGCGCCCGCCGGGACGATCGTTGTGTGTGTGCTTATGAGGTGTCCCCCGCCCGCTTCAGCACCCCCGCACACGGACACGGGGGCACCGCCACTGCCCCCCGGCCACTGGGACAGGGCACTGGGACTGCCCCCCGGCACTGGGACAGCCCCCGGCACGGGACTGCGGCACCGGGCACTGGACAGCCCCGGCACTGGGACAGCCCCCCGCAGCGGACTGGGCACAGACTCCCCGGCACTGGGACAGGGCACCGGGACAGCCCCCCGGGCACCGGAACAGCCCCCCCGGCACTGGGACTGCCCCCCGGCACCGGGACTGCCCCCCAACACCGTGACAGGGCACTGGGACAGGGCACCGGGCACCGGGACTGCCCCCCGGCACCGGGACAGGGCACCGGGTACCAGGACAGCCCCCCGGCACCGGGAATGCCCCCCCGGCACCAGGAATGCCCCCCCGGCACCGGGACAGGGCACTGGGACAGCCCCCCGGGCATGGCCGGACACGGGGATGGCTCTGCAGGAGGGGGGTCAGCCCGGGAAGGGGGTGCAGGATGGGGGGCTGTGCCCAGGGAAGGGGGTGCAGGATGGGGGGCTGTACCCAGGGAAAGGGGTGCAGGATGGGGGCTGTGCCCAGGGAAGGGGTGCAGGAGGGGGCTGTACCCAGGAACGGGGTGCAGGATGGGGGGCTGTGCCCAGGGAAGGGGGTGCAGGATGGGGGGCTGTGCCCAGGGAAGGGGGTGCAGGATGGGGGGCTGTACCCAGGGAAGGGGTGCAGGATGGGGGCTGTACCCAGGGAAGGGGGTGCAGGATGGGGGGCTGTACCCAGGAAGGGGTGCAGGATGGGGGCTGTACCCAGGGAAGGGGTGCAGGATGGGGGCTGTACCCAGGAAGGGGTGCAGGATGGGGGCTGTACCCAGGAAGGGGGTGCAGGAGGGGTTCAGCCCAGAAGGGGGTGCAGGATGGGGCTGTGCCCAGGGAAGGGGGTGCCGAGGGGTGCAGGAGGGGTCAGCCCGGGAAGGGGCACAGGATGTGGGGGCTGTACCCAGGGAAGGGGGTGCAGGATGGGGGCTGTACCCAGGGAAGGGGGTGCAGGATGGGGGTTGTACCCAGGGAAGGGGTGCAGGATGGGGGTCAGCCCGGGAAGGGGTGCAGGATGGGGGCTGTGCCCAGGAAGGGGTGCAGGATGGGGGCTGTACCCAGGAAGGGGGTGCAGGAAGGGGGCTGTACCCAGGGAAGGGGTGCAGGATGGGGGCTGTACCCAGGAAGGGGGTGCCAGGGAGTGCAGGATGGGGCTGAGCCCAGGAAGGGGGTGCAGGATGAGGGGCTGTGCCCGGGAAGGGGTGCGGGGGTGCAGGAGGGGCTGCAGCCCAGGAAGGGGTGCAGGATGGGGGCTGTGCCCAGGAAGGGGGGTGCAGGAGGGGTCAGCCCGGGAAGGGGTGCAGGATGGGGGGCTGTACCCAGGGAGGAGCAGCCCAGGAAGGGGGTGCAGGATGGGGGCTGTGCCCAGGAAGGGGCAGGAGGGTCAGCCCAGGAAGGGGTGCAGGATGAGGCTGCCCAGGAAGGGGTGCAGGATGGGGGCTGTGCCCAGGAAGGGGTGCAGGAGGGGCTGTGCCCAGGAAGGGGGTGCAGTGATGGGGAGCTGTACCCAGGAAGGGGTGCAGGATGGGGCTGTACCCAGGAAGGGTGCAGGATGGGGGGCTGTGCCCAGGGAAGGGGTCCCCCCTCGCCCCCCGGGAGCCGGATCTGGGGGTTTACAGGAAATAAACGTTTGCTGCTGGGGCACCGGCGGGAGGGTCAGGTGGGATCCCTGCTGGACACCACAGCACCCCAAACCCTGAGGGACCCCAAACCCTGAGGGACCCCAAACCCTGAGGGACCCCAAACCCTGAGGAACCCCAAACCCTGAGGGACCCCAAACCCTGAGAGGACCCCAAACCCTGAGAGGACTCCAAACCCTGAGAGGACCCCAAACCCTGAGGAACCCCAAACCCTGAGGGACTCCAAACCCTGAGGAACCCCAAACCCTGAGGGACCCCAAAACCCTGAGAGGACTCTGGAACCCTGCAGGGATCCCAAAACACCACAGGACCCCAGAACACCACAGGGCCTTGAAACCCTGTGGGGACCCCAAAACCCTGCAGTGACCCCAGAGCACCACAGGACTGCAAACCCCCCCAGGACCCCAGAGTCCCCCAGAGCTCCGTGGCACCCTGGAGCCCTGCAGGACTCTTGAGTCCTGTGGTACCCTAAAGCCCTGCAGCACCCCAACACCTCACAGCACCCCAACACCTCACAGCACCCCAAAACCCCCCAATGCCCCAGGACGCCACAGCACCCGAACTCCCAGAGGTGCCCCCCAGAGCTGGCAGCGCCCCAGAGCCCCGTGGTGCCACCCCAAAGCCCCGTGGGACCCCAACCGCCCCAGGGCACCCCAAAACCCAGCAGTGCCCCCAAAACCCACCGGCATCCCCAAAAATGGCGCCCCAACACCCCGGGGCACCCCAAAACCCATCGGTATCCCCAAAAATGGTGCCCCAACACCCCGGGGCACCCCAAAACCCATCGGCACCCCAAAAAGCAGTGGCCCCCAACACCCCGGGGCACCCCAAAAAGCAGTGGCCCCCCCAACACCCCGGGGCACCCCAAAACCCACTGGTGCCCCCGCACCCCAGGGCACCCAAATCCCCCCTCCCCGGTGCCCCCCACCCCGAGCTCCTGTTTTCCATTCCCGCTCCGTGTGTTCCCGGTTTTTCCATTGGCTCCTCCCCCGGCTCCGCAGTGGAATTTGTACATTGACCTTGGGATTGTGAATAGCAAAAAAAAAAAACTGTATTTTGAATTTTTACATGAGAGAAGAACCCTCTTCTGTCTATATATATATATAAATATCTGGCTCTATACATACAAATATATATAAAACAACTGCTCTGGCACCTCCGGCTCTGCCTCGGGGACTGGGCTGGGATCAAAGCCTGGGAATCGCCCCTGGATGGAGGGAATCAAAGCCTGGGAATCGCCCTTGGATGGGGATGGAGCCCTGGGAATTACCCCTGGATGGGGATGGAGGCCTGGGAATTGCCCTTGGATGGGGGGATCAAAGCCTGGGAGTTGCCCTTGGATGGGAGGGATCAAAGCCTGGATGTGGATGGAGTCCTGGGAATTGCCCTTGGATGGGGTGATCAATGCCTGGGAATTGCCCTTGGATGGGGGAATCAAAGCCTGGGAATTGCCCTTGGATGAGAATGGAGACCTGGGAATTGCCCTTGGATGAGAATGGAGTCCTGGGAATTGCCCTTGGATGGGGATCAAAGCCTGGGAATTGCCCTTGGATGGGGGGATCAAAGCCTGGGAATTGCCCTTGGATAGGGATGGAGGCCTGGGAATTGCCCTTGGATGGGGGGAATCAAAGCCTGGGAATTACCCCTGGATGGGGGGATCAAAGCCTGGGAATTGCCCTTGGATAGGGATCAAAGCCTGGATGTGGATGGAGGTCTGGGAATTGCCCCTAGATGGCGATCAAAGCCTGGGAATTGCCATTGGATGGGGATCAAAGCCTGGGAATTGCCCTTGGATGGGGATCAAAGCCTGGGAGTTGCCCTTGGATGGGGATGGAGGTCTGGGAATTGCCCTTGGATAGATAGAGGCCTGGGAGTTGCCCTTGGATGAGGATGGAGGTCTGGGAATGGCCCCTGGATGGGGATGGAGGTCTGGGAGTTGCCCTTGGATGGGGGTCAAAGCCTGGGAGTTGCCCTTGGATGGGGATGGAGGTCTGGGAATTGCCCTTGGATGGGGATGGAGGTCTGGGAATGGCCCCTGGATGGGGATGGAGGTCTGGGAATGGCCCCTGGATGGGGATGGAGGTCTGGGAATAGCTCCTGGATGAGGATGGAGGTCTGGGAATCACCCTTGGATGGATAGAGGCCTGGGAGTTGCCCTTGGATGGGGATGGAGGTCTGGGAATGGCCCCTGGATGAGGATGGAGGTCTGGGAATGGCCCCTGGATGGATAGAGGCCTGGGAATTGCCCTTGGATGGGAATCAAAGCCTGGGAGTTGCCCTTGGATGGGGATGGAGGTCTGGGAATGGCCCCTGGATGGGGATGGAGGTCTGGGAATGGCCCCTGGATGGGGATCAAAGCCTGGGAGTTGCCCTTGGATGGAGGGGATCAAAGCCTGGGAATTGCCCTTGGATGGGAATCAAAGCCTGGGAATTGCCCTTGGGTGGGGATGGAGGTCTGGGAATGGCCCTTGGATGGGGATGGAGGTCTGGGAATGGCCCTGGATGGGGATGGAGGTCTGGGAATTGCCCTTGGATGAGCCATCCCGCGGGATGAGGGTCCCGGTGTGGCCGCGGCACCGACACAGGGTGTGAGTGCCGTGAGTGAGTCCCGGCTGGAATCCCAGGAGGAGCTTCCCGGGGCTCTCCAGAGGGGGAGGGCACCCCGAGCCCACCCCAGGGGTGCTCTGGGTTTTACAGGAACGATCAAACGGCCCCGTTGTCACCCGTGGAAGGTCCCCCCGCCCCACGCCGGGTGGTGGCACGTCCTGCTCTGTCACCGGGGCTGGCACCGGGAGCTGTGCCCGTGCTCCGGGGGGGATGGGGAGGAGCCGCCCCCGTGTCCCGGGAACAGGAGCATCCGGGAGCTGCTCCCGCCGCTCCCGCCACCAAATCCTGATCCCCCGGGGCTGTGCTGGGCCCTGAAATCGTCCCACGACCCATGTCCCTGTCCCGTGTCCCTGTCCCGTGTCCCGTGTCCTGTGTCCCGTGTCCCGTGTCCCTGTCCCGTGTCCCTGTCCCGTGTCTCTGTTCCTTGTCCTCTGTCCCTGTGTCTCGTGTCCCCTGTTCCGTGTCTCTGTGTCTCTGTTCTGTCCCTGTGTCTCCTGTTCCTGTGCCCTTGTCCCTGTGTCTCTGTGTCCTTGTCCCTGTGTCCGTGTTCCTGTCCCTGTGTCTCTGTCCCTTGTCCTGTTCCTTTGTCCCTGTTCCTCTGTCCCGTGTCTCGTGTCCTTGCTCCTGTTCTGTCCTGTGTCCCTGTGTCCTGCGTGTCTCTATGTCCTGTGTCCTGTCCCTTGCCCTGTGATCCGTGTCCCTGTCCCTGTGTCTCATGTGTCTCTGTCCTTGTCCCTGTGATCCGTGTCTCTGTCTCTGTGTT